TAGTACAAACAGCGCTAAAGTAAATTATGTTGTTTTTAAACAAACACTTGGATGCGATAATAAAGCATTATAAATTCTGGATTTTCCGAAACTTTCACGATGCATTCTCAAGCGGAGTAGTAGGAATTTTTCGGTGATAGTACTTTTTTCAAAACAACAAGAATAATGGCAGGAAGAGATTTCAAAACTTGTGGTATTCTGATGGCACCCGCATAAGCTGATGATTATGGGAACGTTAAAACGAAATTCAGTCTGGAAAAAAAATATGCCAAGAATATTCGGGCATTCGGTGTGCGGATCCCGTGTTAGTGATGTTAATGCAGTGCCTGCACACGCCGCGATTAGTGATTTTATTAAGATGCATGTGACGCGTGCCCTTTGATATTGTGTTGTATAGCTCCAGTTAGTACCCTTTGCCTTTTCGATATATTTGTACCAAAGAAGAAAAATACATATTGAGAAATTTTCTTTGATAGAATAATCCTATAAGAAGTGGTAATTCCACTGCAGAAGTACTTTCATTGAGCCGCGCACCGGCCAACACCATTAAATTGCTTGCAGCAGACAAAAACCATTAAATCAAGAAAAAAAAAGGAGCACACTGGAGACGACGACGATAACGACACAGCGGTTTAAACTATCCAGCACTCGAAAAAGCTTCTTTCCAAAAAAGCCGGCAATAGCAGGAGCAGCAGCAGCAGGAGCAAGAGGAGCAGGAGTAAAGCGAGTCGCCACCAGCTAGCACCACCACCAGCAACAATGAGAAATGCTGCCATTAAATTTGGTTTTGTGAGCATCGTCATTCCCATTTCGTCTTCGTAAACCCGCTCGAAGAGGCAATGTTTGAGAGACATGAGGAGAATGATGATTCAAAGTCCTCTACAAATTTCACAACTTATGATACGCACGCAAATTTGACCGATGGACAGCGCACTGGCAAGTAGCACTAACGCTTAAGTTGAAATCGAAGGTTCGAATCCCCCAATGGAATAACCAATCCCTCCATGATACGTTCAGTGCATTCATTCGATTAGCACTGGGATAGGTTAGGAAGCTAAATTTGCCATCAGTCTGCTTCTAAGTAAAACGGATCAGAGGAGAGAGTCATCGGCAGCCTTGCCAGCGGGTGGTTCCTGTTTGAATGCTCTACCATTTAAATTACTTCCGAGTGTCTTCGCTTCTTACAGAGAGTGGTTTTTAGAGGAATTGATTTTATTCATGATACATTCGAAAGTAGTTCTAATGATAACACACTGTCAAGAGCAGCAATCATTCTCTGACAAAGCTGTTGATGGTTTACTCTTTTAGCTGATGCTTAAGCTGAAAGCTGATGATGGATTTTACAAACTACCTGACATGTTATGCATGTTAACAGCAACTGATTAGCAAAACAAATCCTAATGAAAATGCTTTTCAAGTGAATCGAATCTCAGTGTCAGAACCTATTATACGCACTAGCCCACCTTTACGCTGTATCTGTTAGTAGATTAAGCAGACGAGACTGAAAAACACATGTCCACGAATATTACAATATGTGGGACTTCCATGTTAGTGATGTTACTAAGATGTTCTCACAAGTCGGACGCAGGTACGCTACGCCCCCGCATCGTGGATTTTAGAACTCTTGTTCGATGTGCAGCCTGTGTACCCGTCCACTTTACTGCCAGTACCATTCACCGATGCGCGACGTTCATCAGCTGTCGTAAAGGCTAGCAACATCTCCTGCTCGTGGGATATTTCACTTTCTCGCATGGTTGCAATGATATCTTGCACGTCGCTCATCTGATGCGGGGTTTGATTGTTTATATGGTCACGAAAAAGCATGCTAAACTTTCTTGGCTCCCTAGCGCTACACATGTCCAGAAGCTTTAAATCCGCAATGCATCATTTCACTTCCCAGTGGAAATCAATTTAGAACGATCATTTCGTCCAAGGCTTAACGATATTCGTCCAAATTAACAATGCATTTGTTGAGATTCCTAGCTTCCGACAGACAGTACATTTTTTCCTAGCTTGCGCTCTCTCTCTTTTTTTATTTGCCAGGATTTGGTGTATTCAAAGCCACTGCTGCGAATTTTGCCTCCCAGCTAATCTTTGCTTTTCCTTGACTAAATTTCATGCTTCTGCGGCCAAAAATTTGTTTGTCTTTGGCTGAATTTCACGTGTGGTTGAATTTTGCGTTCACTGATTCAATTTTTGCGCATTTTTCTTTACGGGCGAACGATGGCAATCTGCTTCCCATCCATGTTGGTGGCACAAAGCCGCTACCGGAAAAACATGTTACAGGAACGGAAACAAAATGGGCTTCAAGGAAACTTCGCACCCGGCACTGTCACCACCGTCAGTAGCAGTATCGCTGAGCAGCAGTTCTTGCCAATAAAAGAATTCGAAGAAAGCGGTGACAGAAGCAATAAAAGAGGGAAGTTGTCGCTTGTTCAAGGATGCAGTAACGGCGGCGGCGGCTGTGGCGGCAGCAAGCCACAGGAATGGGACTCTTCAAGCAATAAGCTTTACTTCTACACATCCACATACACAGCGACAGACAATATATATTTGATATATGAAAGGGGAGGAAGGAAGGAAGCAGGGAAAGGAAAGCACGGAATGGACAACCGCGAACTATGGAGATGGATGTTGGCTGGATGGATGGATGGTTGGATAGATGGATATATCGAAAAGCTCCAATAAGAAAAGCCATCGAAATGAGTGCCGCCGGCATAGCCGAGTGTGCTTTCAACCCAATTCAGCAAGCCATCGTCGAGACTCGGAGTTGCAGCAGCAACAGCAGCAGCACTTGCAGCAGCAGCCGTTTCTAATTCCAGCTTATAAATGAGGGCTGTTGAGGTGGCGGCGGTTGTGGTGGCAACGATTATCGAAAGGAGGCGCTCAACTAGATTACTGCTACTACTACTACTACTGCTGCGCTACTACTACTACTGAAGAAGAGGAAGATTGAAAACTGTGAACTAATAATGATGGGGTGGCGGCGCTGGGGTGCATAGCTTGGGCAACATGAATGGATGGATGGATGGATGGCTAACAGCCTAGTAAGCTTTTATCCGCCGAACCTGGGCTGGCAACGGGATCGACCACAACGTCAGCCGGCTAATGGATGATCAATTCTGTGTGTGTATGTGTCTCTAATATTACAACTCTCCTGGAGAGCAACAAGAAACAACAACAGCAAACCACAAGCACAAATCCATTTCAACGAATTGTGCGCCAAAACAGCGCTCACTCGAAATTCGGGAATTGAGCTGACGACGGTGGCAAAACGGCACTCCTCAGCCAGCTAGCTGCTCATCTCACAAAGTGTGATAGCGCTTTTGCCACCAACAGAAACACAAACACAATCATATCTCGGGCAACGCTGAAATCTGTGTCGACGGTTCTCCCATCTGAGCAGCGCCTCGGCAAATTAGCTGCAGGTGGCTCGCTTCTTCAAACATACTAGCAATATGCTAGTAAAATGTAGTGAGCAAGGCCCGAGAACAGAGATTCCAGGTCCGATCGCTTGCCGTTTCTTGGCGACAAAAGTCGCGAAATTCATGGGAATATTCCGCGGCAAGTTCTTTCTCCCGAGGATTTCTAGGAAGAACTCAAATAGGAGATGATAAGAAGATGAGATACTGTACCAAGTTATGGCATATACTAATGAATATATCACAATGTTTTCATTAGTTTGCGTTTCATCCCTTAACTGTAAACACAGGCAGTGCCATTCGTGAAACACCTGGAGAGTGAAAAATACCGTTAAGTAAAGGAACCGAAAACAACAAAACTTTTGGAGATATAAGTGTCACTCATTAATGCAAGAAATCTGAAAAAATACTAAAAGTCTGTCTCCTTGGGAACAAAATTTCCCAGATGCGATTCCTTTCAAAAAATCTCCTGGCTACGCCAATGGATGCAGCTTCCAGTGAATGATGGCAGATGGCTCTCTTGTAAACGCATAATTGCATTTTGACATCTGCTCGAAGATAAACTAAACAGTGTGAGGATCAAGTCTCGATGCAGTTATCAACAGCAAAGATCGTGAGTTATTGCAACTGGTAGTGGTTTGGGCAATGCCGCAACACAGCGGGATACCAATAAAATTCGCACCGCTAGTCCGGGCGATTCTGTTTGTTCGGAGTTAGCAGCACGTTTCAGGCAGCCCTCGCAATCAAAGCAGTGCCAGAGATGGGATAAAAATTTGATAGGAAAAATGAAGAGGCTAAAATCCGGATAATGTGAGGTACTAAAAATGCTCTGAAACACGACAAATTGAGAGGAATGGTCATAATTTTAAGCAATAAAATGTCTGCAAATTCGTGGAAGGATGGGAAACAGGCGCTTTTCGGTTGAGCGGCACCAAATTTAAATGGCGCCTTGTTTTTCAGGAATTTTTGAAGTATGTAGACATCTATCAAATTTCTTTAAAAACTCCAAGAAAGTGGAGGCGGCCAGCCCATTGCTGCTCTTGTTATCATGATAATTGTGATGATTGCATTCACTTTCTCTGCGAATGAATATTGCTGTAAAGCGGTATCAGCCGAGATGGGGAAAATATTAAGGTGTAAGAAGAAGATAATCGTCATGTACTGCAGCCACTATCAATGCTACCGCGACCATTACCAATAAGCACTGCCGTTATCACCCATCGCCATCGTCATTATCACCCACTTTTGTCATTATCATTTATCGTCATCGCGATCACATTCAATGTCATTTTCATTACCGGTAATAAAATTGATGACAGTCTGCTGCAAATTGAGCCGCGTTTCTTTTGTGAAAGTCCAAGTCAAAACCCTCATCGTATTCGTTCTTTGTGAGAGAAGAAAACATTCGGAAAGTAGCTCGAATGGTAAGAGATGCCAATACCAACCACGCTGATGAAAAGGTTGTTGACAGCTCCTTTTTTTGAGGGTTGTTTACAAGCAAGCTGATGACAGGTTTGACTCCCCGGCACATGCCAGTATCAATTTACCATCGAAACGAATGAATGAATTGTAGAGAAATTGGTTTTCCCGCTAGCGGAATCGAACTCTCGACCTTTTTCAAGACAGCAGTGCTACTTTCTGTTACGCCATGCTTGCCCGCTTTGCAAAAAGTATTTGTAGTAAAAGTCACTTTCGGCCGATGAAATGAAATTTTTCCAGAAATGGCGAAAGCTCTGTTCATTGTACCTTACGAATGTCACATTACACCCATAAGTCACATTTGCATCATGCATGCCACACACGCCCTATACAGCATCTGGTACATTCTACGTCATTTTCGCACTTTCGCACAGTTTTTGTTGCACTTCCATTGCCGGAGTTTGTGTAATGACAGGACAGAATGAAATTTTATGAAAATTTACTGATTGCGATAATACAGCGGAACTTTCCGTCCGGTTCCCCCTGTCCTCCTTCTACTCCACTTTTCAACAGCACTTCTGTTTGCCTCCCGAAAATAAGTGCAGCAGCTACACACTACAGTACGTCTGTGAGGGAAATGCGCCGCTGCTTCAGTCCTCGTTCACCTAAGTTATTACATATAATTAAGTGTTTAACATACAATAAAAAAGGAGGAAGAGGAAGAAAAATCAGATTATTTATCCCCTTCGATACTTTGATCAGCTGCAGCTCGAGGCTGGCAACTTTTCCAGTTGTTATCATCAGTGCTGTAACGTTTGACGGATACTAACGATCCTGACGTCGGCTCGGTGCTTTTCTCGACACAGATGTTTAGCAAGACATTTCTTAAAAAAGTAAAATTTGACAAAAAGAAGGAGGGCGCCAGGGTCAAAGTTCACGCAGCGCAACGCGACACGTATGGATTCTGATAAGGTCCAAGCAAAAACATATGTAGAAAGATAAGAACGTCCATAAAGCACGAAAATGTGACGAAAAAGTATTTTCCATTCTTCTGATTCATCCTAAAGTGCTCAAAAAAATGGCCTTGAGCTACACAACATTATCAGTGTGGCCAATTTTCCTACGTTCCACCACTTCTGTACTGTTCCACGAAAGCCAACTCTTTTGAAGCTGTATCTAAATTTTCCAGAATTGGATGCATAAACAAATGGGTCTAGCAATTTAAGAAAAAAGGCGCTCTTCTTCAACAGCAATTCTTCAAAACTCCCAGGTATCGATGCTTCTCAACTACGGGTTTGTGGAAATTTTTGGCGGGGAATTTGCTAACTCAGAAAACAGAAAAACTGGAAAGCTGAAATTTTAACGGAATGTTCACTGTCCAAGTACAACTTGAAGATTTCAGATTCAGCCCCTACGTATATGCGGTTCTCATGCACTGGCACATAAAAATTTTGGCAAAAAATTGCTCATTGAAGAGCAAGATCATTTTCAAGGAACGGAAATTATTTATTTTCTTTAATGCAAAATTTGTCGATGATTTATGCCAGCAAACGCGCAAGGTAAGTGTAAAGTCAACGACCTGATTGCTTCAAGTTTAGTGCAAAAACGCATGATCGCACCAGTAAGCCTGGAGTTGTGTTTGCATACATGCAGAAACGCATAAAAAAAGATTTCTTTTTTAAAAAGAGAATCTCTGATATTGTAGAAACGGAAGTTTCTTTTTAAGCCTCCAAAAGAAGCCTCCACTTCAAAAAAATCAAAGGCTCCATTCGATACTTTTCTCAGTTTTCCTATTTTAGAATATAGCTCCCCAGTCAGCACTCGTCTTTCTCAACAAGTTCGCTTGCCACTTTTTCTAAAGTCACCTTCAGCAATTGCGTTTTCTTTGGCAAGTACCATTCACTGATATACATGATGGACATCGTCCATCATTTACGAAGCTTCTGAATTTGCTTAAAAAAAAGAGACCTAAAAATTTCCAATTTAGTAAAATGCCATATTTAGCTTTTAAACGAACAAAAACGAAGAAATGAATTGAGAACAGAGCTTCTCCCTTTCACTCTTGCTCCATTATTAAGGGAATACTTGACAGAGAGCGGACGACAATGTCTTGACGACAAATGTGACACACGAACACGCACAGAGAGAGTGACTCTTGCATTTCTTCCTCCTCCAGCACCTCCCTGTCCTCGCTTCGTCGTCTTCGTCGCCGTCTTCGCCTCTGTCTTCCGCCACTGCACAAACAAAAATTCCAACAAACTTTTGCTTCTTTTTTTTTTCAAAATGAATAAAATAACCTTGATGGCGCCGCCACTCTCAGGACACCAAGCAGTCAACCAAGCACAGGGCTATTTTTTCGTTCGCTCTTCCCTCTCCCCCGTCCCTCTCTCCCTCACAGCATCCATTCGCCACTCCGAATTGATTCATTTTTCTCATATCAGGAAGAAATTAAACACTCAAAAAGCTGCATCACGAGCACTTCCACCACCATCACCGTCAGCAGCAGCAGCAACGGCAGTAGCGCCATCAACCCATTATTCACATTCTATCTTTCTTGTGTGTTGTGCCTGTGTGTGGCGGGTGCATTCGAGCATGTCCGGCGGTTGCTGGCCCCTCCATATGGCCCCGACTAGCTCTCCGAGCCAAACTACTGGCTTTTTTCGAGAGCAAGAACAAGTCATTTTATAGCTTCTCTCCGCTTCCTCCTCACTCTCCTCCTGCTCGGATGC